AAGTAAACCTATGACACCCAGGTACCACTCCAATGTAATTATATCAATTTCCCTTATTAAATGTGGCTTTTTCTTCTCCACTGAGAGCTTTCTCTACTGGTTTGCAGGAGGTGGAGCATAACCGCGAGTCCTGCCCATACCACTACTGTTTAGGGCCATGTCGTTTGACTCGCACCACCCTCCTGCACCATATTTCTTTCAGGAATGCAACACAAAGAGTGTGGGAAACATGGAGGGACCAATCCATTGATCTGCAGCACTCAAATAAATTCTGTCACACTTGCTCCGTCTCCCTTGCCTCTGCTTCTTTGCAGTCATGACCTCTTCCTTGCAAGGTCAGTCTTCTTGATGGCATTTCAGAGATGACCAGGGCACTGAATGGAGCATTAGTCAGAATACAGTGTTCTTTGTTAAAATCCTTCTTTTAATATATGTAAATGTGTTGACGGCAAGAGTTCAGGAACAACACACAGACCATCAATATGATCAAACGATGTTCAATTTATTGTTTAAATGAGTTAGCTTTTATACAGTCAACTCTTTCCGGGTACGTGATTACAACAAAGCAATTGGATAGCTCAGTCTGTGCACGTGTTTCATGCCTTTAGCTCATTGGTCCCAATGCTCTGTCCACGCGTCCTGACATCATTCGTGCCGCCCAAAGTCCCTCCTATCGATCCGCCTTAGGGACTTTCCAAGGACTTTCCAGTTTTCCCTTTATCTCCAGTTTCCCACAACTTTCAACTATAAACACACAGTTTTCCCATAACTTACAACTATAAACACACAGTTTCACACAACTTGCAACTATAAACTATTCTTTTAATAACCTCCAAAACTATGTCAAGTGAGGCCTACTGCTCCTCAGAGCTGGTAATATGGATTGTTCACAAAGTGTCCATTATCCTGTAAATACTCCACATAAATGGGACAAGTTACTGTTCCAACTCTTATACCTATCAGCAGGTATGGACCTTCCTCGAGTGGCAGAAGCCAGAGCATAACCAAATCCACATTTCTGTGTGAAACGCAAGCTGCGTTCCTCCATCCCAGCCTTCCTAGTAGAGGAACCTGACCACCTAAGATAAAACAATCAAAAATGTGATATTTTTCAGGGCAAGAATGCCCTTTATCCTCTTGTGGGAAGATGGTTGGGGGTAAAAATTTGAGGAAACTAGGAAGTTATATTCACATCCTAACAGAAGTTATAACCGTACAGAAATTATAGGGTAAAATGCAACTGCTACTCCCTGGATGGAATGCAGTTGGCATACACAAAACCTATTCCACGATGATTTCCCATACACACAATCTGCAACCATAAGAACCTGCCAAAGGGGGATGGAACGGAGGGTGGAGTGGAGATACCGTGGCCAGTCTCTGTTGAAATCCTTGCAGGGAGGGGAAATCAGTGGTACTTTGTAGCTCATAACCTGCATAGCACCTGTCAACTAAGGGAGATAAGAAAAGATGTCTTGCTGCTGAGCCTACAATGGTGGTGAAATCTGGTGAAATCATTCTTCTCAGATGAACTTGGTTCATTAAAGCCTAATTGTAATATTAACACTTGCCTCCATCCCAAAGTTACCCACCTCCAAGGTATGACCACCCCCCACTGGGCGTGCACTCTGCATTTTTTTGACTGGATCTTTAAAAGCAAAGCAAGAGAATTTTACACCAATCAGTAAAAAATGTATTTATGACTGAAGTCACTCAAGTTACACCTAAACTGTCAGTGTGAGTCCTTCCCAGGCACTAGCAGATGCTGGCAGTGGGTGCTGCTGAGGGGTCTCTCTTACACTGTTGGTGTAGTTCCCTGAAAAGGGCAGTCAAATCACCCTCTGATCTAGCAGGACTGTTCAGTGGAGGGTCCCCATAATGGAATGTTGACAGACTGGTTGGGCACAAGGGTCTTGGTTTTCCTGGGTGTTATGGTTTACCTAAATTTCTCCATGCCATCATGTGGTTTCTGGAGAAGCGTGGGGGGACCCCCCCTCCATGGGGGGGGGGGGGAGCAGGGAGGGAGGAGGGCTCCTGCCAGGACAAATTCCACAAGAATTTAGGAGAATAAAACTGTTGGCACAAGGGGACCTTGCTCTCTTTTGGTTCCTGGGACTGCAACCAAGAGGGTTGCACCCCTAGAGCTGTCCCACCACCACTTTTTCAACTGCACCACCTCAGCACCGCAGGGCACCTGGCAGACCCGCACCGTCCCTGCCTGGAGTTGCTGCTCCTGTGTGGCTGCCATTGCCACTTTTTTGACCATGTTGCCCCGCCCCTGCTCTGTGTTGGCTTCCTGCTGCCGCCGGCACCTCTAACTGGACCTGCTGCTCTTGCATCACCTCAGAGTCACTGCACCTCCACCACTGCCACCATTGTTACTGCTTGCACAGCCACAACTTTGCTCAGCCTACATCGGGACCATATGACTGCGTCGAGACTGCGTTGCTGCCTCAGTGACGGGGAGTTGAAAGAGTGATTTTGGGTGACATTTTCTCTGTTATTGCTTGATCATTGTTTTAGTCTGTTTTGATCTCCGTTTTTAGTAAAATTGTTATTCATTTTCATACTCCACTCGAACGCCTCATAATTTCAAATTTTTTTGTAATTTTAGGGGGAGGAGTTCCTATTCCACTGGAGGTCCCGCCTCCTGGGACACATTGTCAATAAACTAAGACAATAATTTGCGCCCAACAAGAGGCACTGAGAGGAAAAGTGGAAAAAGAACAACAGTTTTGAATAATCCATTTGTGTATTGGATATAGAACCCCTCAGGCATCATGTTGTTTGACTTATTTGGCATGTATTCCTGCATACGTATTTCCCATTCATAGATGTTTCTCTCAAAATAGGTTCTAAAACCAAGGTAGCTGTGGTTATTTTTCAGTTCTTAACTTGGATCTGTGGGGTGGTACATTCAATACCTATAAATCTCCTTTGGAATGTGTCTTCAGGGCTGTTTTCCTATAATTACCTAAACTGTTATCCTTGGGGGTTTAGCAATAATGACACCCATTCTGGGGGAGAAATGTAGGGGAGTGTTTTTTCCCAATCTTTCACCCATTTCTCCTTCAGGTCCACCACAACAGTTTTTGAAGAGTTTAAATTCCCCCTAGATGTTAGAGATACCTTACTCTTTGCCGTATGTCTGCAAGGTTGCATCATTATGGTCTATCTCATGTATGAAGGTAGGACCAAGATCTATCAGGAAGGTGCCCAGAAGCCCGCCCCAGGATTGGATAGTTTTGAGTGGCATGGGTCATGGGAGGACATGGGTAAGTTCTTGGAGAATGTTTCTGCTCCAATGACCTGGAAGTTCACCCTTGAACAACTGCAGGACCCTGTCAAGGTGATGCGATTGGCAAGGGAAAAGTACCATGGTAGACCTATGGAGGGGCAGTTTGTGGTTGCATGCAGAGCCCTGGCCACTGCCTACCAAAAACTGCTTGGTATGGTGGATCACCTCCAGGAGGAAAAGAAAGGGAACAAAACACCTGACACCATGGCAACTCAGAATGTAGCAAAATGAAAGGGAAACCCCAAGCCAATAGAAGTTGCCCCTACCCAAAAGAGAAAATATAAGACCAAATCAGTTTGCCTGGTAGACAATGATGGGGAGGCAAAACCACTTCATCTCTGGACAAGGCTTTTAAGAAGCGTAAGAGAGAGGTTTGCTTATAGAGACGACCTGCAGGGGCATCATCTTTGCACCTGGAAGACCATGGAAGAAGAGATCCAACGCCCAAGAGAAATGGCACTGTTAGAGATACTTTTTGCAAGGGACAGACAATCCAGTAGCGACCCCAGCAAGGTCAAGTATACATCACAGATATGGTGTAACCTTGGACGTGCAGGGTCACTCGTATATGCTAATCTCCTGGTGACAATACACTGGAAGGAAAACCAAAAAACAGTGGGAGCTATGATGAGTAAACTAAGGACATATAATGAGATGGTCCCTGCCCCTTTACAGGCCCATATCTCCTCTGTAGAGAAATTAGTTGCGACCCTGTGGGCACTAACTGAGGAAGTTAAAAATGATGACAAAAAACTCAGAGAGGAGTTTAAAGAGAGCATTGTCCATGTCTTGCCAGTGCAAACTGGAGCCACTGCTATCTGGAACAGGCATCCCCTGGCTAGGGAGAGGAGGTACACCACACAAGGCAACCTGTAGTTCTTCCTATGTGAACATGGGGAAGACATGAGGAAATGGGATGGAAAACCCACTTATGCTTTGTCTGCAAGGGCACAGGAGTTAAAAGGAAAAATGACCGGAAGTAAGTCCATGAGGATGGGTGTAGCCCCAGTCTCCTGTGGGAAAGCCTCTAGACAAAACCAGAGAGATGATAACATGTCTAATCCCTTGGAAGGGACCTCCTGTATGTATTCACAGAGAGAAAACTGCGATTGCTGAAAGTAGCATTAGAGGGGTCCTACCTCTAACCAGGTGGAGGCACAGAATAACCATGTCTATTGGACTGTGTGGATTCGATGGTCTGGCACATCAGACACACAAGAATACAAAGCTTTGGTTGACACTGGTGCACAAGACACTGTAATGCCATCAGGACATGTGGGGTGGAGTCTGTTTCAATTGCTGGGGTGACAGGGAGTTCTCAAGAGGTGACAGTGGGGGAAGATGAAGTGAGTTTGATGGGGAAGGAGTGGCAGAGACACCCCATGTATCCTGGGTATTGATTACCTAAAGAATGGATATTTTAAAGATCCAAAAGGACATCCGTGGGCCTTAGGGATAGCTGCCGTAGAGACAGAATGGATTAAACAGTTGAATGCATTGCCTGGTGTATCGGGGCGAAGTTGGGATGTTATTTTTGGTCTGTGTTTTGGCCCTAGCCACCTGCAAAAGTTTATGTTTTCTCCTGCCAAGTCTGCTGATAAAGCAGTGAACTTGGTCTTGGAGAGAGAGTTTCTGTGTAAACTATTTTAATTGGTCTGTTGTGATTGGCCCATTTCTCTTCAAGGGCAGTTAGAGGACAAAGTGATGATGATGGTGCTGAAGGCCATCCCCCAGACTCAATTGGAAAGACCCCCCCCAATTCACTGCGCCTGCGTCAGGGGATTTCCAAAGTGCTCACGCATGCGCAGGAGGGGTGCACTTACATAACAGTAGGGGTGGGATTGAGAGCCCCTGACGGGGCGGTACTGGCCATGCCTCCCCGGGGCAGGTGCTCTCAATAAACTTTAAAAAGGCAGACTCGTGTCTAGGAGGGGAAGCTTTGGCTCTTCACGATGGATCAAGATGCTTTTAGTGGGGACGCCTGCTGCACGTGGGAGCCTGCCACCCCTCCGGAACACGCAACTGCCGTAGAGAGGTTTCATTACTGGTTAGGATGGGTAAGATTATCTTATAGGTGACACCTGGGTGAGTATGGGGTATAGAGATATCTTACTTGGGTTTCTGTGCACTTTGTCCTCCTTGGCCCTAATTCTTTTCCCTCAGGCGCCTGTTTTTATTCACCTTTTTTTCCCTGTTTGCCACCTGTTTCTAATAAATAGCTATTGTTTGCCAACTAGCAACGGTGTTTGGTTTATTCACGTACCAGGATCCCTCGAACCTGTTTTTCCCCTGGTTTTTTCCACCCTTCCCTGTTACACCTGGCCTCTCAGAGAATCCTTCTGCTGTGGGATTGCTAAAGGTTGAAGAACAGCAGGTGCCAATCGCCACTGCAACAGTGCATTGATGGCAATACCGCACGAACCAAGACTCTGTGATCCCCATCCATAAGATGATCCGTGAGCTGGAGAGGCAAGAAGTGGTCAGCAAGACTCGCTCACCCTTCAATAGCCCCATTTGGCCTGTGCGTAAACCCAGTGGAGAATGGAGATTGACAGTGGACTACTGTGACTTGAATGAAGAAGGATGAAGCTCCAGAACACCTGCAGTACATCGATGACATCATTGTATGAGGGAACACGGCAGAAGAAGTCTTTAATAAAGGAGAAAAGATCATCTAGATTGTCCTGAAAGCTCTGTTTGCCATCAAATGGAGTAAGGTCAAAGGACCTGAGCGAGAAATCCAGTTCCTGGGAGTGAAATGGTCAGACCAGTGCCGTCAGATCCCAATGGAAGTCATCAACAAGATAACAGCAATGTCCCCACTGACCAGCAAAAAGGAAACACAAGCTTTCTTAGCCACCGTAGGTTTCTGGAGGATGCACATCCCAGAATACAGCCAGATTGTAAAGTCCTCCCTACTTCATAACATGCAAGAAGAACGATTTCCAGTGGGGTCCCAAACAGCAACAAACCTTTGAATAGACCAAACAGGAGATTGCTCATGCTGTTGCCCTTGGGCCAGTCAGGAAAGGACCAGAGGTGAAGAATATGTTCTACTCTGCAACCAGGGAAAATGGTCTTTCCTGGAGCCTCTGGTAGAAGGTGCCTGGGGAGACTCAAGGACAACCACTTGGATTCTGGAACCAAAGCTACAGAGGGACTGAGGCCAACTACACTCCAACAGAAAAGGAGATTCTAGCAGCCTATGAAGGAGTTCAAGCTACCTCAGAAGTGATCGGCACAGAAGCACAGCTTTTGCCGGAACCCTGACTACCAGTGCTGGGGTGGATGTTCAAAGGAAAGGTTCCCTCCACGCATCATGCCACTGAGGGCACATGGAGTAAGTGAATTGCCCTGATCATGTAGCGCCCCTGAATTGGAAATCCAAATTGCTCTGTGTGGCAGTAAATCTGCAGTATATGAGAAAACTGTGGTTTAAACATGTTTCAAAATGGCTTTTTGTAGTCTCTTTGCTAACTCATGCTTTCTTCTTCCCGACACCCCCTGTGAAGGACTATTGTCTCCCATGCAGGAATGTCCTGGGAAGATGTCCTAAGGTATTCTCATTGGTCCCTTTTTACCCCTTCCTATTGGTTGTTAACCCCTTCCTGCAACCTGTAATTGGTTACTCTGTGAATCTTCCTAAGCCTATAAATGTAACCCCCCCAACAATAAACTCTCTTTTGCCTCCTCTCTGTGCCCTGTGTGCTGTCTCTGTGGCAGCCATGGGACCACGTGGGGAGGGGAGAGTACCTCTCCCCTCCAGGCTCAGGACCTGAAGAAACTCCTGGCGCTGGAGTCTCCCCCCCCATCCACCCAAACCGTCAGAAATGGTTCCTCAGATGGAAATGGAACTAGAACTGGGCCGCTCCACACCACGGGGGGAAAGAGATCCAGAGTTCTGGCCTGAAGGTGAGAATTTTGGTCTGGCAGATGAAGAGGAAGAACAGGTGGCACGTGCTGAGGAAGCTCCACCATACAAGCAACCACCAGAGGACGAAAAGCGTTACGCTCTTTTCAATGATGGTTCCTGTCGCATTCTAGGGACAAACCAGAAATGGAAAGCAGCCATATGGAGGTCCACACACCAAGTCACAGAATCCACAGAAGGACAAGGTGAATCGAGTCAAGTTGCAGAGCTCAAAGACATCCAGCTGGCTTTGGATATTGCTGAAGGAGAGAAGTGGGCAGGACTTTACCTCTACACTGACTCATGGATAGTGGTCAACTCTCTGTGGGGGTGGCTGGACAGATGGAAGAAGGACAACTGGTGATGTAAAGGGGAACCCATCTGGGCTGATGTCAGAGACTGGATTCATATCTCACGGGGTAGTTTGATTGATGGGTTGAATCAACCATCTTTGTGAGTGTGTATGGCAGGGGGGAGGGCTAGGTTAGGTCTGCAGACACATAATCTGCAGCCTCATGGCACTAAGGCACATGTAAGGCCTGTAGTCAAGATGGCCACTGGGGTCAGCAGACACATGGCATGGAAAGCTGCATGGGGGATCTGTCAGTCAATAAGGTTCACCTAGTAACCTGCCCACACCACACCCCCCAGAGCCTCTGATTGGCTGTGGCACCCCTCACTTTGGCTAGAGGGACAGTGAATAGTCAGTGATTCAAAAGTCCTGCCTGGGGGGAGTGGCCACAGTAGATAAAGAGGCACGCACGAGGTCTCCATCTTGTCCTGGCCTGCTGTCCTCGAAGCTGTCAACATGTGACCTTCCAGTGGTAACTATATTTTTCTCTCTTTATTCTTTCTTCTCTTAATCTCTCTTCCTTTACTCTTTTCTTCCTCTTGCGGGTAACTTAAACACCTATTTTCTGTATTTCACTTAAGTTGCAGGTATCTCACTTAAGTTGCATAAAGTTTTGAGTTTACTGGGTGTAACAAAGGTTTCCTACTCTATAGCAATGCTTGCTAGTCCCAGTAGCCTGTTGTAATGCTTTTGTGAAGTTGCATGTTATGTCTGTAAACCCTTTTTGCCAAAATGCCTGTTTTCTCACCAAATTAAAAGAAGTCTCTTAGAGAAAAGTGTGTAACCTTTTCTCCAGACATGAACTCAAGGTATCAAAGAACCAGAGATTTTGCAAGAGTTCATGTGGGCAAAATCTCTTGAAGTCTAAAATAAAAATGTACACTCAAGAAAGCTGGACCGGGGTATAATAGCTTCCAAAATGTGGCAAGACATTGTGGTCTGGGGAGAGAAGCTGATTATGGGAGTCTGCCATGTAGAAGCACACTAGCCCAAAAGATGAGCAAATTAAGAACATCGAAACAATGAACAGGCAGACTGAGCTGCCCAAGTCAAAGTGTCACAGTTAGACCTTGATTGGCAGGAGAAAGGAGAGTTGTTCCTAGCTCAATGGGCCCATGATGCCGCCTATAGGTGGACACAAAACTGAGCGGTGGATTTAACCAAGGACACTATCTCCCGGGTTGTTCCACGATTGTGAAAAATGCACCGCAATCAAACAGGTGAAGCAAGTAAAGCCCCTATGGTATGGTGGGCAATGGACTAAGTATAGATATGGAGAGGCCTGGCAGACTGATTACATCATACTGCTGCAAACTCGTCAAGGTAAACACTATGTAGTCACCATGGTGGAAGCAAGCACTGGCTGGCTGGAAAAGTACTCTGTGCCTCACGCCACTGCCCAGAACACCATCCTGGGCCTTGAAAAGCAAGTCCTGTGGTGACATTGCACCCCTGAACAAATTGAGTCAGACAATGGGACTCACTTCAAGAATAGCCTAGTTACCACCTGGGCTAAAGAGCATGGTATTGAGTAGATATATCATATCCTCTACCATGCACCAGCCACTGGGAAGGTTGAACGCACCCTTGAATGGACTGTTGAAAACTAAAGGCATTGGGCAAGGGGACTTTCAAACATTGGGATCAACATTTAGCAGAGGCCACTTGGTTAGTCAACACTTAGAGCCTCTGTCAACCGCAGTTGCCACTCCTGTGTGGCTGCCGCCACCACTGCTTTTTCAACAACACTACCCTGCCACTGCCCCACGCCGACTTCCTGTCGCTGCCAGCACCTCTAACCTCAGAGTCGCTGCACCGCCGCTGCTGCTGCTGCCAGTGTCTCTGACCGGAGTCAGACTCCCACATGGCTGCTGCCGTTGTTGCTGCTCATGCGACTTTGCCCAGTCTACATTGGGACCACATGGCCACATCGAGACTGCTTTGCCCCCTTGACGGCGCAAAGGTGAAAGAGTGATTTTGGGTGACATTTTCTCTGTTATTGTTTGATGGTTGTTTTATTCTGTTTTGTTCTCTGTTTTTAGTAAAATTGTTATTAATTTTCATTTTTTGTAATTTTGGGGTAGGGGTTTATATTCCATCAGAGGTCCCGCCCCTTGGGACACATTGCCAATAAACCGAGACACTGGGGCACTGACAGACTAATCAAACACTACGGGTCGAGGAAATCTCCCCTTTTCATGTGACACCTCTCTAGGAGGTATGGGGTTTTCATGCCATCTCTTCTTGCTGCCAGATTACCGCCACTCAGCTGGCTTAGGGGTCTTGAACATGGCACAACACCCCACGGTGCAAGCTGGGAGTACTTCCAGACCCTAACAAATCTTGCTCCTTGCCCTCATTTTCTTGATATTATTTTGTCCTTTACCTTTAATGTGGTGACACTAGTTGTCCTGGATGACAACAGATAAGAAACCTTCACAAGAAGGCAACAGT